CCCCCTCTGCCATACATAATGAACTCAGTCTTATTCATTATTTTAAATTTTAATTTATATTTCCTTTCCAGGTAATTTGGACACTGATGAATCCGGGTAAGTCTAACAAAACCAAATTTGACCAAAGATGATTTTGATTGACATGACGAACTTAAGGCCTATTTGGATTACCTGGTAAAGAGAAGATTTCATTGACAGCTTAAGTCATTGACCATGTTCTACATTTGATCGGCATGAAAGCTTTGCATGTTGTTGGTATTTTTGTTTTTCTTCATGATCAGTCATGTTTTGAATCAATTTTTGCAATAGGAAGCACTGACATGAAGACAAAATTTCATTGAAGAAAAGTTATAGATAGATCTAAAATAAAACTACACTATCGAATTACAATGTGGTAATCTGTCCTTTCCTTTTGAAAATTGAATCCATCTTCCCTTGTGATGTTCTGAAATTGAATCACAGAACATCACTAGGGATACCCTGCGAGCAGAGGTTTTTTCTGACCCTCCGTGGCCTGTGCCCGTGGAGGGTCCGAGAAAACAACCTCTGCTTGCCGGGTACACTAGGGATCACTCATTTCAAATAGTCGCATGTAAGATTAAGTTATTTTTGTTTTAATTATTTTGTCTTTCAGTGAAATAGAATTCGATGAGTTCCTAGATTTCATTGTTTCGAGGCAGGCAGACAGTCGTGATGTCCATGATGAAATATTACAAGGATTCAAAATGTTTGACACAGGTATTATGATAATAACCAATGGCATCAACAGCATTGTCATCATCGAGATCACCATCATCAGCATTTTTGATCACAACTGTCATTATCAGCAGCATCGTCATCATTAATCATATTTATGATGATGATGGTGATAATCATCATTCATCATTTATCTTCTGACACTATTACTATCATCACCATCATCATCATCACATCTACAAAGCTTTTCTCTTCTGTTGTATCACAGCGTGGGACAATCACAACAGAGCTAGGCTCCAAATTAAGTGAAAGCCCAAAGATCGAATTAGAATTTAGAAGTTGATTTTTGAGGAGGGAGGAAAACCGGAGAACCTGGAGAAAAACCCTCGAAGCACAGGATAGAACCAACAAACAACTCTACTCACATACGACATCGAGATCGGCAGGACTTGAACTCAGGCCGCATTGGTGAGAGGCGGCGCATTAGCAGCGCACACCACCAGTGCTTCCCATCATCACACCATCATCATCACACCATCATCATCATCACCATCATCACATCATCACACCACCACAACCATCATCATGACAATCAATTTTAGGGCCTACCACCTATTCATATCAGAAGCATATAGCCACTGCCTCACTAAGTTTAAATAAAGGTGTCTATTTATCTATCATTGCAACTAGAGCGAACATTTGATCTAGTTTTTCATTACATTTGTACTGAAAACAATTTCCACTCTTTTTCCCAGATAAGTCAGGCCACATAAGTCTAGATGACCTTAAGAAAGTATCAAGATTATCTGGATTAAAGTTAAATGAAAAGGAACTAAAAGAGATGATATATGAAGCAGATAAAGATGGTGATAACCAAGTAGATCAAGAGGAATTCGTAAACATGATGTTAAAAACCAATCTTTTCCCCTGAAGAATTCAGGAAAAAATTCTCCAGTCATGATGGCTTAAGTAAGTTATGTACAGGATCTGAAAGGCTATTCATGGAAGCCAGGAAACAGATAAGATATAGCATGGGATCTGGGAAACTAGAAAAAATCTTAGGCTGTGTTCATGATGTATGGCAGAGGGGGGGGGGAGTGGCAGGTGAAAACTTGAAATGTCCAGAATAATTCTCAACATCCCCCCTTAAAGTCATGCAAAAAAATACGATCCCCCTAAGCAAGGCTTGTAGCTTCTTCCAAAAATTGTGCACCCCCATTTTTCTGATAAAAATTTGCCCATTCCCCTTTTTCCTATCAAAATTTTCCCGATCCCCCCTCAATATCACCTGCTCCCCCCTCTGCCGTATATTATGAACGCAGCCTTGCAAAAAAGCGTTTTCGCATGTATGAGAGGCTAGTTGGTCCAGAACAATAGTTATTCGAACAAAAATTGTTCACCATTTTTGATTTGGTTTCAGCATAAGCTGAAGATAAAAAAAAGTTGGCAATATCTAGCGATGAAGACTGCGTTTTCGTTTATTTTCTTTGTTATATTGAGGACACTCTTACCCAAAGGGGATTATTTTAACACGACTGCTTGGTTTACAAGCAATCTGTCACGTGATCCATCAGTGCGAATGGTCTATAATATTAAATTTAGGTACGTGTGTGTATCATCATTACGTGTTTAGCAGGATTTCTTATTCCAGTCCTTGTAGCGGTTATTAAAACGATTTCGTTTGAAGCACTTGACAGCGGCGACATCACAAGCACAGAGTGACCGTCCACAACGACTTGACAACCAACCTGACAGAGTAAAGAAATACATTAGGACATGACGTAACATTGCAATGGCTTCCCGTAAGAATGTCGTATGAGCGGGAAACGCACACCACGTGCCGTAACATTGAAATGGCTTTTTCGTATAAATTGGGACATCACGTACACGGTACCACATACCGTAACATTAAAATGGCTTTCCATAAAATGTTATCGTATGAGTGGGAAACGTACGGTACTTACTTTACAGCACGTACACGGTACGACATTTCGTAACAGTGAAATGGCTTCCCACAAAATTGATATCGTAAATCGACGTACGCTCTGACTTACCGTACGTACACAGTACGACATGCCGTAACAGTGAAATGTCTTCCTATATTGATTACTCTTTTTTAGAGACTATAGCACGTGATTGCTAACGCGCACGTCGAAAGTTGGGCTTTCTGTGGTTTTATCATTAATAGTACCTTTGTAACACTTTAATCCAGAGTAGTAGTAATTCTTATGATAGATCTCATAGCGGCCACAGATTCTCCTTGTTTTATAGAGTCTATTGTAGCACCAGTCGTGTTGTTGACAGCATCTACGAACACGTTCAAAAAAGAAGAAAATCAGCCGGTTTATCGAAAGATGCCGTTTCAAGCATGGCGTCCTTCGTGCTTATGTTATGGACCTACCAAGGGCGGTTTACACCCTCCCCCCAAAAGTGTTTTATTAAACATGTGGACACTACCGGGAAGCTAAAGATAAATAATCCAACACACCCTCTCTCAATCACCTGGACTGCGAGTATCCCATCTAGACACAACCCTCCCTCGATCACCTGGATCTCAATCAATGCATAATATTAATATGAAATTACTATTTTTATATACTATTGTTATAATTCGACATCCTTTAACACTACTTGAGGGATGAAAAGGGTAGAATAGGGCAGGAGAGGGGGAAATGAAAGAGGAAATAACAGAAATAGTTGAAAGAAAATTAGAGTGAATTTCCATCAAATAGCAAACACTGAGTGAGAACTTAGCCCAGACAGTCCGACAATGCAATGCAATCTCGACCCAGGCTTTTCTCAACCTTGGAATTGTTAATACCTATCAACTTCGTCGACTGGTCGTCCTTTGCCGCCATAGCCGCACCAGCAGCCGTACCCCATGTAATCTTTAGGGTCTCGTCCAGTTTGACTGCGAATCATGGTATAAAACTGCAGAACTGATCTCTTGGAGACTTGAACATCATCTACAAAATCAGCCAAATAGAGTGCTCACACTAAATCCGTGAAACAAATACTAATTTTTAGCACTAAAGAGTGATAATTAAACAATAGAAAACAAAGGATTCTGTATGAAATAGTACTATGTCGATGTTCACGGTTTTAGTCGTGCACTCTACTCGTCAGTAGTGACTAGTGTACTGTTAAAACAAATACTTTAAATTGATTTAGTTTTGGAAAGATTTCCTGTTTATAGGAATTGATTGGAATAGCGCGTTTAAGGGTGAAGTCAATTGCAAGAAAACCGACATTTGGGTTCAAAACAAAGAGAGTTTTCTTATTTTTTCTTCAAAAAAGGATTCATTTTCCAAAGTTCTAATTCATTCAGATAGAGGTTAAATCATTGAGTTTTTCGCCTTATATTAGCGATTTTGTGGTGAGGCGTTGAACCCGGAAAATGTCGCAACTTAAAACCTCTATTAGGATAAAAATAGATAAGAGATAAGGGCCAAAGCTCAATGCTACTTAGGAGAACTACTCTATCAATACAAATTTCATTGACTAATAAAAGACTAATAGACATATATCATTTTTCACTAAAATTAGTGATTTAGATTTCGTCTTTAGAGTTATGTATTTGTTGCTTTTGTTTCGTTTGTATGTTTGCATTTAGGGAGGTTTTCTCTTTACATGGGGCTACTCTAAACTTCCTTTCGGGGCGCTTATTTATTCCTATTTTCTTGCTGCGTGTTAGGTTTGCTTTCGCTCTTACTATCTTATTGTATGTTAATGATAATTTGCGTCCTGAATAAACTACTATTGTAATAAACTACTATCGTATTTGTAAAAGAAATACGCTGTTCTTACCTTCATACTTAGAAGAATCAAGATCGAGTTCTTCATTCGAACGAGCAACGCCAAGCAATTGCAAAGCTAACCAAAGTATAACCAAAGCGAAAGACTTCATAGCGTCGATTTGGATAGGATACTCTAATATAACGAGGTCTTCTGGTGCAGTTGTTTCTATACTTTCAGCTTTGAGTGTTTTGTATTGATACGAGTACGACTTTTATGCCATCAGAGATGTCTATCAAAGTGGCTTGTGACGTGAGGAATGTCAGTCAAGCAAAAAAAAAAACCAAAAAACTTTAAATTGTTTAAACAGCTTTAAAAACATGAAGAATTAACACGACTCTATAATTTTTGTGTTTTTTTTTTTTTTTTTTTTTTTTTTTTTTTTTTTTCGCAGAAACCACAATGAAAGCGTAATATTAAATAACATTTCGTTGCGTAGAAAACGTATTTTTTTCTTAGTTTCGTGATATCGTTCACGA